CGAAACTGTGCGATAAACAGTAGACTTAGAAATTGGATAGTGCTCCGGATAGGTGTCATTAAACAAATTTGCGACTGCTTCGTAAGATCGAATTTGGTCACCAAAACCGCGCATTCTAAGGATTGTAATTCGGTCGGTAATACTTAGTGGCATTTTTAAATAAATGCAAAATTATTATAAAATAATGATTTTGCAATTTGAATTAAAAATGAAGTACAATTTGTAAGTAGTTTGTGTCAATACCTATAGTGTCGAAACAAAATCAGCTTTTACTATTCTTGGTAAACCAAGACGCTTATAGGTCGCGAAAGTCATTTTCACTTGCGAGAACCGTTTTTCATATAACAGATACGATTACAATCTGCGAAAAATGATTGTAATGTTTTCAATGCTTAGTGTTTTGGATTTTACTACACCATCAAGATAGATTTTTTGAAAAATCGTTTCACGTGTTTCAGCGTTTTTTTTAAATACCGATGGTTTTCGAAATATTTGACCGTTCCGGGACTTTTTGCCATCATTGTATAAAATTTAAAGTGCAAATTTGTATGTGATCAATGCCAGCTTTTCTGCCGCTTTCTATCTCAAACAAAATTGTAAATGTTAATATTTCTTTTTTTTTTTCTTTCAGCTCACATATTGAAAGTTCAAAACTTTTTTTTAAATCATCTCGTCTTCCTTTTTTATTTAAAATTTATTAAATAACATAACGCTCAAGAAAAAGAGACAGAATATACTGTGGACACATTACATCGGTATGTAAAGTAAGTACATATCGCATGAATCATAATACATGAATCATATATACGCTTGATTAATTATACACATAATTTTAAAGTCAAATCGATCAAAATAAAGTTCGTACACATATGTATTTTATTTTTATTAATGTATAAAAACTATATATGAAAAAAAGATTCAAATTATACAATTTTTTTATTAATCTAAAATTTTCTTTAATATACAAATCGATGTATATTTTTTGTCGTTTTATAAAAAACATATATACTAAAGTTGATAAAATAGATGATATAATAGTTGATATAATGCGTGAAATTTGGTGTTAATTAATGTTAGAATGTCAAGGAACACTATTATTTATTATGAATTTATTATTTACTACAATTTTACAAATCGCTGAGCATTCCTATAATATCCTCGAATTTTAATTCTAATAAAATCCATTTTAAACTAAACAAATAATACATAAAGTTTCACATATTTTTTTATTTGCGTCTTCAATTTTTTTTAAATCAAAATAAATTAGAATATCTTGTTATTTAAATTTTCTATGAAAAATCGACACCATATTTCTCGTAAAAAATATCAATAAATGCACGCTTTTCATCAGAATTGTATGAAAATGGTAATATGAATAGTGTGTGAAGAAAAATATGCATTAATCAAAATAATAGGAAGCTTCGGTATTACAAAATCTGAAATAAATTCTCTTTAAAAAGTCGCAAGATAGTACTTCCACTGTAGTTATATTATATTATTATCCCATACAGCACACAAATGTATCCGAGATACATTCTGGGGATGTCCTTAGGACATTCGAAGATATATACGGACGTCCTTAGGATGTCCCCTGGAAGTCTTTGCTGTGTGCGTGCGTGTGCGTGTGCGTGTGTGTGTATATGTATGGGATATTATTTACGACGGATCTCGTTGAAAAACCTGCATTGTGCTATCAGACCTAGATAAAAAAGCATCGCGTTTGGAACAAAAAAACAATTGTTTATGCAATATTTTCTTTGTAAATCTTTTTAAAGAATAGGGACATCTCATTACATATTGCATGGAGAATCAATTATGTATGCAATTTCGTAAGAGCGTTTAATATTTTAAATAATTCGATATTTACATATCGATATTTCGCAAACGTCAAGTTCATGAATCATCATCACACCGTTATCGTGAAATTATGCGTGAAATTATAATCGTGCCTACAGCCTATACGTCATTTATCTATGCTATAACGTCACCTAAATGCCAGTCTCGCGTTAAAAAATTCTTTTCACTTGTACTACAAGTAACATAAGAATTAAAAAAATAGTTTTATGCAAATCGCAATAGAAAGCAAATTTATCAACGTGAATTATTGGTATAAGGTCGGATTCTAAATTTTTCATAGTAATAAAATAAAATTCGCTTTGATGCTGGGATCGAAATAAAATATACCTTACGTTCTAAAATAACGGAATAGAAAAATAAGACGATAAGATAATAAATAAAACAAGTTCCACGTAATTTTCTAAATCTGAATAAGATTCAGATATTTCTTTGAAAAAAAAAAAATAAAAGGATAAATAAAAAAGATGGAAATGATATAAATATTGATTTAAACATATGCATATGTATAGTGACAAAATCGCGATGAAGTACAAAAAGAAATTGATCGCAGTTTTTAATAAAGGGAGAAAAAAAAGGAAGCAGCGTATAACGCTGGGACACTCTGGAACAGAGTCCGGTCATAATGTCGTATCAGGCCGTATGGCCGATTTGCGACATGAAGCGCAATCAAGCGACATTTCAAATGAGACACGTCG